TTAATGATTACATATAGAAAGACATCATGTGATAATCACATGCCATGCTTATATAAACAAAGTGAATAAACTACAGCAATAAAGAAACATTATTAATTCAAAGGAAAAGAAATAAATGAAATCACAACTTAACAGGAAACTATGAATATAATCAATAGCTACTAATTAACTAGTACCTCTAAGTGCTACTAAGTTACTTATTGTATTCCTTTAGCTTTAAGTTCTTCTTTTACTCTTGTCAGATAAGTAGGATCAGGATAACCAAATCTATATAAATAATAAAAAATACTGTATAACTATCATTATACAACTGAAACTCACGGTTGTCCTGATACTTTAGTTTTATGGTGTATATCATTCCAGACTACAGTGTTAGTGATACCACTCGTGTGTGATGTACCAACTGTAAATATCAATCGAGCATCAAATGCTTTTTGTAGCAGCTTTAACACTTCTTGTCCTTCAGGATTGTTAGGTAGATATGCTTCACGTGTTGTTCCATGATATGGCTGACCTACATGTATACACATAAATGTATCATCATTTTGAAGAAACTAATACTGTTAATACCTGAAGCAGGATGCTCATTAGTTTGCGTACCACTGGGTATTGTATATTTAATAACAATGGTGCCAGATCCCTCATAGCCAGGTAAAGATAAATGACTAAAAGAATGGCCCATTGTGCCTGGTGGCTGATTTCCTTTCACTTCTTTAACTGCTGCTCGACAGATTGGGCAAAATGAGGAATGCTCTAAAGCTTTATCAATACATACTCTGCAAAATACTTTACTACAACATTTTATAGTAACAGGATCTGTTACCACTTCATTCAGACAAATAGAGCAACCTACAAGTATTACAAAACAAACATAAGTATCATTATTATCGTACACAGTCATTATACCTTTTTCATTATCAGTTTTATTAATACTAGGAGTAGCTCCTTCTCCTCCTTTACTATGTGTAAGAGAATCAGGTGTTGCGTCAGGTGGTGTTGAATAGTGGCCATCATGTGAAACAGACCTTTTTATCCCTGTAGGTGCCGGATTCTGGGCTAATTCTGCTGGAGTCAATAATTTTTGCACGACTGCTCCTCCAGGTACTTGCTGTGGCCAATTATCACCTCCTCGTCCAACACCTCCCAAACCACCTTCTTCTCCTCTTCCAAAGCCTCCTCCTTGAGTACCTCCTGTTCCTGTTCCAATACCTCCTGCTCCAATTCCTACTACATTACCACCTGCTCCTCCATAGCCTCCAGTAGGACCAATACCTCCGGCTCCATTACCACCTGCTCCTCCTCCAGTACCTCCTGCTCCATTACCTCCTGTTGTGAGTGCTCCTTTTCCAATACCCAAGCCTCTTCCTCCTCCTCCTCCTCCTTGTACTCCATAGTTGAACAGTGCTGGTTTAAGCATTACACCCCCTCTACTAGTAGCAGTAGTTGGAATAAAAAAAGAACTTGTGGTAACTACTGCTGTATGAGGTGTTGTTGCAGGATGTCCAGTTGGTTGTGTTGTTATAGGTGACTGGTGAATGCCAGGAGGTGGGGTTGTTGTTGAACTGATACCTCTTCCAGCAGTAGGATGCCCTTCAGTTCCAAGAGCATGACTCCCAAAAGATGAGTGACCTCCACCAACAGCACTGCTATAAGATACCTGAGTAAGTTGCCCATGATGTCCTTGATAAGTTGGAGTGCCATATCCCTGATGATGACTGGTAGTGCTAACAGTATGATCTGTAGCAGTCTGAAATGAAGTTTCTTCTTCTTTACTGCTAAGTGCCTCAATACCAGTAGCTTTTATAGCCAGCAAATGTTGAGCGAATACGGAGTAGGTATCTTCATCTAATATAACAATACGAATATCGGTCAATACCTTGCTACTAGTATAATGGAACTTTGTTATTGCTTGAAATATAGCATCAGCAGCTAATGATCTATTAACTGCATATATGCCTGTACTTAATGCTGGGAATGATATTGATTTAGCATTCTTTTTCTGTGCTTCAATGAGAGAATTAGTGATAGCTTTGAATATGAGCTCTGAACATACTACTTCAGACTTCACTTCGTGTGCTATAGGACCAACTGCATGAATAACCCACTTGCACTTTAACTTTCCACCTCCACTTCTAGTAAGTGCAGTACCTCCAACTGGTACATCATTATAATTCCTCGTGTAATTATTAGATATCTTTTGCAGCTCACCATTAGTTGCTTTATTTAAAGCATTAGCAACTCCTCCTGCATGCTTTAGCTCCCTATTGGCAGCATTAACAATTATCTCAGCATCTTCTTCTACTAAATTGCCTCGTTTTACTGTAAGCTTACGATCTTTATTCAGTAATAACACTTCAGACGAACCAGTTTTGGTTGATATTTTAAATTTCATAGCTCCTTTCCCAGGCCCTTTGCCTTCTCCTCCTCCTCCTTTATTCTTTCCTGTCTTATCTTCCCATTTCTCTCCTGCCAGATGATCACCAAGTAGCTTCTTTGCCTGATCAAATTGACGTGATGACATTGATACTATCCTAACCACTCGAGCTTTCTCATCACATGAAAAGTGACATTGACTATATTTAGCATCAAACTCATCCAATAAACCAAACATATTTTCTATTTGGAAGGCAGGTGGTATTTCAAGACTGCCAGACTTCAACTGACGATTTTTAATGATTTCTTGATACGTATTTTGAAATTGTGTTATACATTGCTCCTGCTCTTCCTCTGAAAATGCTAAAACAACTACTTTTCCTTCCTCGGGGAAGAATTGCATATTCTTAGAGCAATCTTGACGAATTTTAGGCATAAGCAAAAGGACATCTTTACTAAGACCAGTAAAGGTCTTACCATCACCAGCACTACTGCCCCCAGTGGCTGCTGCTCCTTCATTGCTGCCTCCCTCATGAGGAACCTGCTCTGGTACAGGGTTGATTGTACTGTGTGCATGTATTGCTTGATTATGGTGTGCATGATGTGATGGTGGCAATGCAAGGATATTCTCAGTTAGAAGATTTGCTAGATACTGCCTAAACTTGTACATTTGACTGCAACTGCCACGAACTTTCACAATATTTCCTTTAGTCTTAAGTTGAATCGATAGTTTCTCTCCTTGTGATACCAAATACTGCATAATAGGCTCAGTACCACAATGTAATGTGAAGGCGGCAGTGGCCTCTTCTTGGAACTACAATGACAACAATAGTGGTTACTATTATAATTTATTACACTAACCATTGGAATCACGTTAGATGATGGGGGAATACCATCTTGTAGCTGAAGATTTCTAGGAATAGCTGCATGAAATAAAAACAGTGGAATAATCATGCGTGATAATAAAATTAATTATTTTTAATCAGTTTGCTCAAGGGTAGAGATTGGTTTGCTTAGTATTGCATAGAAAGCTAAACTGTGAATTGGATTTACCTTCAACATTACTCGCTTTCACAGCAAGCACTGCGTGTTTAGTTGCAGGAGAGGATGCGTTTCCACCTGATTGCGTAGGAACAACATGGACATCACTGATAGACAGAGGAGAAGAAAGTGGAAGAGAAACTGGTTGTGCTTCAAGGCATTTAGCAACATCATTGGATCCGCAATACAAAGGAATGTTATTAACCAATACACATACATTAACAGGGGTGCTTGCAGGGGGCAATTTAGAAGGAAGAGAAGAATAACTGTTTTCATCTAGGTTTTCAGCCATTGTTTGCTCTCTATCTTTCTTTACTAACGACAGGGGAATCCCCCAAATTAAAACGTCAGCATGACGTCATTTAGACTATTATTTTAATATTCTATTTAACGCGCAAGCGGGAACACTGACTGAAGTCTCTGAAGTAGCAGCAGAAGTACATCATTGAACAGGAGCTTAGCCTCAAGAATACATCATAAAAGAAAGAAAGAGGCGCCAAAATAAATCAGGACAATATCTAAAGCTGCAGCTGGGCTGTCAGCTGAAGAGAGAGTATGTATATAAAGCAGGTAAGTGAGTTATTATAAAGTTAATATGGTTTATTTTAGATATATATAATCTTTTTAGGTTATTATCCAAGGATTTAGAAGCTTTAAAGATCAAACAGAAGTAGAACCATTCAGTCCAAAGCATAATGTAATTGGTAAGGAGCAAGTAATAATTAAGGAATATATAATAATAATAATCACTATGTATGTCATCTATTTCCCCATCTCTCTCTCTTCCTCTCTCTCTCTAGTTGGTAGAAATGGATCAGGGAAAAGTAACTTCTTTTTTGGTTAGTATAGATGTCATGTATATTTGTATTCAAATATTAATTTTCCTTCCATACAGCAATACAGTTTGTATTAAGTGATGATTTCACTCATTTAAAACCTGATGACAGACAGCAGCTGCTACACGTAAGACACAGAGAGAGAAAGAGATTCATTATCTACTAATAATAGGAAGGTACTGGTCCACGCACTGTCACAGCTTACGTTGAAATTATATTTGATAACAGCGACCACCGAATACAAGTTAGTTCTTCTAATTAATGCTCATTTTATTCTAAATAATGCCCGGCAGATTGAGAGCGAAGAAGTGACACTGCGTCGTGTGATCGGAATGAAAAAGGACAATTATTATTTGGACGGGAAGCACGTCACGTGAGATGGAGGGTAAAGGAAGGTCTTTTTATTGTATTTCTCTCTTTGTGTAGTAAAAATGATGTCATGTGCCTATTGGAAGGAGCTGGTTTTTCACGCAGTAACCCGTATTATATCGTTAAACAAGGAAAAGTAATTATATTTATTTATTTATTTATTTTAATTTTTAAATAAATAGTTTGCTATTGTTTATTATATCATTGTTTTTATTGG